TTTTGCTGGGACAATAGAGGTGAAAATTAGCTTTTTGTACACACAATAGATTTAGATATACTAGTATATAAATTTGAATACGTAAGCTTACAACCTATAAAACATTCTTAAATGGATGTTGGTCAGTCTTCAAACATTTATCAACTCTGAAATCTAATTCTTGGCCAGACGCGCCATACAAAATCTCTCCAAAGTCGTTGTTCAACCACCTGTTCAACCATGTTTTTTATTGTGTGTAAAATATATTAATAGAGCTATAAGACATTGATGGTATTCATGGTTGGTCGTCTTTATTGAGGAATTTTCTAACAGCTTTAAAGCTAGGTGTTTAATACATTTTCAAACTACTATAATGGCCATTTATGGAGCTTTCATTCAATTAGATTTAACAGTCTGCCTGCCGACACGCAACAGCCCCCATTGTATGCAGACAATCGTCTCTCTGATCTCAGTTTCAACAATACGATAAAACACGTTATATGCATGTTGTTGTCTTTATCGTTATTGTCCAACTGATTGTATCTTTATGTAACGATGTTGTCTGATTTCTCGTATGCAAGTCGGCACAAAATAATTTCCTTAGTTTCGTAATCAAGTAAACCCACCGGACCGGTTTTATCCACCCGCCCAGTCCCTATATAAAAGCGTCCCTGACTGCTCTGTTTCTGTCAGTACTGACTCTGCAGCCGTGAGGATCTGTGCCGTCGGGAAAACTTTGGAGAATCTTTGCATCTTGGTGAGTACTGAGTATGATTTTGTTTCCCGGTTTTTTCTTTTTGTTGTGACTACGGCCATGTAACACCGTGTTGTAGGTTGCATTGTAAACCTTACGGCGAAAAACATTTTTCGTGTCTACATTTCCGACTTACTTTTCATACCTGCCCATGCTAAAATGGCCAAATTTTTACTTTGATTATTAGCAAGACGTGTGCATAGACCCAGACCCAGTAACTTTTTAAAGTCCCATATGACAGAGAACTTGTCGTCCACATTTTGACTTCCTTTAACAATGTTTCCCTGCTCCTTTCCTGTCCTTTAAAAACTCATGCAAAGCATTCGCAACTTGTGTTGATTAACCAAAACAGTTGCAATGAAATTTACGCATTTGTCAGTGTGCATACAATATACGCGATTGTCAATTCCATTCATTTGACACATTGAATTGTACGTTATTCCTTTAGGATCAGCAGTTTGACCAACATGGCGACCAGAGCTGAATCTCAACAGAAACAAGAGAAAGTAGAGAGTGGAGGTGGAAAGCAGGATTCTCCGCGTACCCACAAGTGCGGCGAGTGTGGCAAGGAGTTTCGCTACCCGAGTGAGTTGAAGCGACACTTGCTAACTCATACAGGAGAGAAAGCTTACCGGTGTGAGGAATGTAACAAAGGCTTTAGTCTGCTGGGTAGTCTGCAGAAGCACATGCGGACTCACACTGGTGAGAAACCGTACCGTTGCGAGGAGTGCGGGAGGCAGTTCAGTGAGTTGGGAAGTCTGAAGAAGCACATACGGACTCACACTGGTGAGAAGCCCTACCGGTGTGAGGAGTGCGGCAAGCAGTTCAGCATAATGCGTAATCTGAAGATACACATGCGAACTCATACTGGGGAGAAGCCATACGCGTGTGGGGAGTGCAACAGACAGTTCAGCACTCAATGTGGTCTGAAGACTCATATGACGATCCACACGGGAGAGAAACTCTACAGATGTGAGGACTGCAGTCGGTCTTTTAGTACACTGTCACATCTAAAGATACACATGCGGACTCACACTGGGGAAAAACCGTACAGATGTGAACAGTGTGGCAGACAGTTCAGTGAGCGGTGTGCTCTGAAGAGACACATGCGGACTCACACTGGTGAGAAACCGTACATATGTGAGGAATGCAGCGGGCAGTTCAGTAGGCTGGCTCATCTGAAGAGACACATGCAGACTCACACTGGGGAGAAACCCTACGGGTGCGAGACATGCAGCAGGCAATTTAGTGACATGTCAAATCTAAAGATCCACATGCGGACTCACACATGAGAAAGTCCACACGTGTGAAAAAAGCACTGAAAGCTTTCGTTATTCCAGTAGTCTGAGCATGCTAGCTAGCCCACACTGGAGAAAGTCTGCCAATGTCGGTGTCAAGATTACATCATGTTGCATCATATTAGTCAATAGGGAAGGTCGTACATGTAGCTATTCGATGAATGGAGTGGGTCGTTTTCTGATTTCTATTTGACCCTTTTCCCACCAACGGGGTCCAATTGCTTGTTTTCTTTCAATACCGTATGCTCTACCTGACTGCACTGTAAAGTTAAGAATAACGAAAAGTTTAAATGATAGTCGTGCATGCATGCTTTATAGCCCGTAGATTTAGTTAAGAACTAGACCTAGTTGCGGAATGCAAGAGAGCACTTTACCGTCCGTTTTCGAGAGGTGATAGTGTCATCGCCCGTCTGTTGTTGTGCTTAGTTTTGTAATTAACATTGCTGTAAATGCACTAGCCCCTATAGTTTAGAATCAGTTGCAGCATGCATGTTTGTTGTGAATGCATTTAGATTTACATTTTGCGCACAGCTACAGCTACATTTTGCGCAATGCTAGCGTAGTAGTTAGATAATAGTTACATGGTAGGACATCGTTCCTTTAACGTCAATGTGCCATTGTCCGTCAGTTATAGAATTAGTCAACTACGTGTAGTTTTCTTTGTTTTAGTTTCTGTAAATATACTAGATCTTTAGCGTTTGGTTACAGTTGGAGCATGTTACTTATTAATGCATGAAAACGTTGTTTGTTTGTTTGTTTGTTATAGTGCAATTCTGTAAGCTAGAGGTAGCTTAGAGTTCGAGATTTGTCAACTTTTGCATCCCAGCGTCAACAATAAAGCGCGTCATGTGCCGTATTTATTTGTCACCCTCGTTATCTATGCTGTAGCCTTTTCCTTAAGGACGTTCTCTGACTCCTATTCAAATCAGCACGTGTAACATACTGCGTTCACCAAAAGTTGTCCTCTTTTCCTAATAAATAAGGGTGTTGCCTTCTATTCGAGTCATTTTAGATTTTTTATTTACTGGGACTATAGAGGGTGAAAATTAGTTTTTTTTGTACACACAATAGATTTAGATATACTAGTATATAGATTTGAATACGCAAGCTTACAACCTATAAACATTCTGAAATGGATGTTTTTCAGTCTTCAAGCATTTATCGAATTTAATTCTTGGTCAGACGCGCCAGACAAAATCTCTCTAAAGTTGCTGTTCAACCACCTGACGTGTTTTGTATTGTGTGTAAAATAGGTTAGAGCTACAAGGCATCGATCGTATTCATGGTTGACCGGCGTGATTAAGAAATTTACTAACAGCTTTAAAGCTAGGTGTTTGATACATTTCCAAACTACTAAAATGGCCATTTATGGACCTTTCATTGAATAAGATCTAACAGTCTGCCGACACGCAACAGCCCCCATTGTATGCAGACAGTCGTCACTTTGATCTCAGTTTCAACAATAAGATAAAACACGCAATATGCATGTTGTTGTCTTTATCGTTATTGTCCAACTGATTGTATCTTCATCTAATGATGTTGTCTGATTTGCCTTATGCTAATCGGCACATGAATATACTTTCCTTTCTTTCGTAATCAAGCAAAACCTACCGGACCGGTTTTATCCACCCACTCAGTCCCTATATAAACACGTCCCTGACTGCTCTGTTTCTGTCAGTACTGACTCTGCAGCCGTGAGGATCTGTGCCGTCGGGAAAAACTTTGGAGAATCTTTGCATCTTGGTGAGTACTGACTATGATTTTGTTCCCTTTTTTTCTTTTTGTTGTGACTACGGCCGTGTAACACCGTGTTGTAGGTTGCATTGTAAACCTTACGGCGAAAAACGTTTTTCGTGTCTACATTTCCGACTTACTTTTCATACCTGCCCATGCTAAAATGGCCAAATTTTTACTTTGATTATTAGCAAGACGTGTGCATAGAACCATACCCGGTAGCTTTTGTGAGTCCCATATGGCAGAGAACTTGTCGTCCACATTTTGACTTCCTTTTACAATGTTTCCCTGCTCCTTTCCTGTCCTTTAAAAACTCATGCAGAGCATTCGTAACTTGTTTAACCAAAACAGTTGCAATAAATTTACGCATTTGTCAGTGTGCATACAATATACGCGATTGTCAATTCCATTCATTTGACACATTGAATTGTACGTTATTCCTTTAGGATCAGCAGTTTGACCAACATGGCGACCAGAGCTGAATCTCACCTGAAACAAGAGAGTGGGGGTGGAGAGCAGGATTCTCCGCGTACCCACAAGTGCGGCGAGTGTGGCAAGGAGTTTCGCTACCTGAGTGAGTTGAAGCGACACTTGCTAACTCATACAGGAGAGAAAGCTTACCGGTGTGAGGAATGTAACAAATGCTTTGTCTGCTGAGTAATCTGAAGAGACACGTGCGGATTCACACTGGTGAGAAACCTTATCGGTGTGGGGAATGTAACAAAGGCTTTAGTCTGCTGGGTAGTCTGAAGAGACACGAGCGGACTCACACAGGTGAGCAACCGTACAGGTGTGAGGAATGTGGAAGGTGTTTTCTTGAGCTAGGTGCTCTAAAGAGGCACATTCGAACTCACACTGGTGAGAAACCGTACAGTTGTGAAGAGTGTAGCAAACAGTTCAGTGACCTGGGGAATCTAAAGAGACACATGCGGACTCACACAGGTGAGAAACCGTACAGGTGTGAGGAGTGCAGCCGGTCGTTTAGTACATTGTCAGATGTAAAGAGACACATGCGGAGTCACACAGGTGAGAAACCGTACAGATGTGAGGAGTGCAGCAAGCAATTTAGTGACCCAGGTAATCTGAAGAGACACTTGCGGACCCACACGGACGAGAAACCCTACAGATGTGAGTGCAGTAGGCAGTTCAGTGAGATGTGGCATCTGAAGGAGCATGTGCGTACTCACACTGGTGAAAAACCGTACAGATGTGAGAAGTGCAGTCGGTCGTTTAGTACATTGTCAGATCTAAAGAGACACGTGCGCACTCACACAGGCGAGAAACGGTACAGATGTGAGGAATGCAGCAAGCAGTTTAGTGAGCGGGGTAGTCTGAGAAAACACGTGCAGATTCATACAGGTGAGAAATCGTACAGGTGTGAGGAATGTGGAAAGTGTTTTCGTGGACTAGGTGATCTAAAGAGGCACATTAGAACTCACACTGGTGAGAAACCGTACAGTTGTGAAGAGTGTAGCAAACAGTTCAGTGACCTGGGGAATCTAAAGAGACACATGCGGACTCACACAGGTGAGAAACCGTACAGGTGTGATGAGTGCAGCCGGTCGTTTAGTACATTGTCAGATGTAAAGAGACACATGCGGACTCACACTGGTGAGAAACCGTACAGATGTGAGAAGTGCAGCAGACAGTTCACAGCACGGAGAAGTTTAAACAGACACATGCAGACTCACAGAGCGCAGAAACCGTGCATGTGTTAAAAAGCAACAAAAACTTTCGTAAGAGTGCCAACTCACACTCCGGCGAAAGACTGTCAGTGTCTTTGTAACGGTTACTGAGTGGCGATGCTTTAAATGTCCTGACTGTTTGATCTACATGTAGTAATGTACTCTCTACATGACTCTACTGTGGAGTTATAGCGCAATAGAGGTGATTTTATATAACGATTGATGGATGCTTCGTAGCCTGTTGATAGAGCTAGAAGTCATGTGCAAAATGTAATGCTATAGTAGTTAGACAATAGTTACATGACAGGACACCGTTCATTTAACGTCAATGTGTCACTGTCCGTCTGTTATAGAACTTAGTCGACTACATGTAGTTTTCTTGTTATAGTATCTGTAAATACACTAGATATTTAGCGTTTAGTTACAGTTGGAGCATGTTATTTATTAATTCATGAAAATGTTGTTTGTTTTACTGCAATTCTGTAAGGTAGAGGTAGCTTACCGTAGAGGTAGAAACCGTACAAGTGTGAGGAGTGCAGTCGGTCGTTTAGTATACTGTCAAATCTAAAGAGACACATGTACATACGGACTCACACAGGTGAGAAACGTTACAGATGTGAGGAATGCAGTAAGCAGTTCAGCGACCCGCGAAGTCTGAAGAGACACATGCGAACTCACACTGGTGAGAAACCGTACACGTGTGAGGCGTGCAGCAGACAGTTTAGTCACCTGGATAATCTGAAGAAACACATGCGGACTCACACTGGTGAGAAACCTCACAGATGTGAGGAATGCAGCAAGCAGTTCAGCAGGCTGGATAATCTAAGGACTCACATGCGGACTCACACTGGTGCAACAGTACATGTGTGAGGAGTGCGGCGTGTGTTTTGTTGGACCGATTGATCTAAAGAGACACATGCGGCCTATTAAGGGTCCCATTTGAACACACACCGGCGAAAGCATGCCAGTGTCTTCGCCAGCAAGCAGTTTAGTCAGCTGGCAAATCTAAAGAAGCACATGCGGTCTCACACAAGAGAAATCGAACACGTGTGAAAATGCAACTAAAAGAACGATTTTACATGACGATCGACGCATGCCCTGTATATATACTAGTAGTCTGTTTAGAACTAGAAGTACAATGCAGTGTGCAGTATGTAGAGTGCAGTATTTCGACACTCTGTAAACAAGTTTTCTTCTTGTCTCGATCACTATCATTGTATGCTCCGTAGTAGCGTTATTAGATCTAGAAGTGCTTCAAGTAGAGTGTAAAATACGAATGTGGAGTGTTTGGACAATGGTGGCAGAGATTCACGTGGTAAGAAACCGTTCGTCTGTCAATTACTAGTTGTCTCCGGTTAACCGGTTGTTTTAGGTACTATTGTGTGGTATGATTGGAGTCAGTAGTGAGGTTTGTAGATCAATTTTAGCAATGTGACCGTAGCTCTTATTTACTGTTTTCTTTCAGTAGTGTACTCTCTACATGACTAAATGGTAAAATAAACAATGCATGCTCCCTAGCCTGTTGGTTAGAACTAGAAGTCGTGTGTAAAATGCGACTGTGGACTGTTTAGACAATAGTGACAGAGTTACACGGTAAGAGACCGTTAGTTTGACATCAAGGCGCATGGTCCGTCTGTTATAGCACTTAGGTAACTTTTTTTATTATTTACTTTTAACTAAGCACACAACACTAGATCCTTAGAATCTAGCTTAGTTAGCAGCATATATGGTAGTTCTAGATGCACTAGTTGGTAAATATTGTTTCTTCTTAACTGTTGTGTAAGATACATAATGAAGCTGTTAGAGATTGGTTAACTTTCGGCATCTCAATTTCTCCAATAAATAAAAAAAGGAAAGAGTTGTCTTCTTTATTGACATTGTCTTCTTTATTGATATTTTTCTTGATGTTGTGTAAATTGCCCCTATGCAAATCAGCGCATGTAACATGAAACAATAAATTCAGACACGTAATACTAGTAATACGTAGTATGTTGTTGTTTCATTGATCACCAACTTTATTGTAAGTCTCCAACTCGGTCTTTTTTTCCTACGAATGATGTTGTCTGATTCTTTCCTATGCAAATCAGCATGGTGCTTTCCTTTGTGTCATAATCAAGAAAAAAACCACCGGACCGGTTTTATCCACCCACCAAGTCCCTATATAAACGTGTCCCTGACTACTCTGTTTCTGTCAGTACTGACTCTGCAGCCGTGAGGATCTGTGTCGCCGTGAAAACATCGCGCAGTCCTTTGGACCGTCAGTGCATCTTGGTAAGTGCTGACTATTATTTTCTTTTTCTGTTCTTACTTGCTACCAGTACTGCCATGTGGCACCTTGTTGTAGGCTACATTTTAAATCAACCGACGAAGGTTTGTGTGCTTGGAGGACAGTTTGCCGGGGCGCTACGCTCCTAGGAGCGTGCGGACATGAGTGAGTGAGTGAGTGAGTGACGAAGGTTTTGTGTTAGGTGCATCATATAACGAGTGTGGTGCATATATCTTATTATGGTATTGGGTAAGTTTGAATTTTTCTCTAGTGTAGCTGCTTTGTACGGTACTACAGTGGTTTACCCTTGTAGGATATGCCGTGTTCTGAATATGCTATGCTAGGTTTTAGGGTATAGAATTTTCTTCTTACACAACCAGTAAGGTTCTCACCTGCTTACGTTTCGATGTCTATCAGACACCTTCCTCAGAGCTTCTGACTGGAGTTCTGCAACTCGCCGCTATTTAACGCCAATGTAGGTGGCGCGTTTGCGGCGAGAATGCAATCCCAAACGTGGCTGAGCTTGTATCCCCCGT